GCCAGCGGGTGTGGGAGGGAAGGGTGGCGGTGAGGGCGGGGGAGGGGGGGAGGGAGCGGGCGGCAGTCGAGGCGGTGGAGGGGGGGGGGGGGAGAGGCGGACGCGGCTGCAGCCCAGGTGAGGAGGGTGGGGCTCGTGGCACGGTGGTGGCTGGCTCGCACCAGCAGCGTGCGCTTGCCGTCGGTAGGCTCCGCCGTCGCCGCCAGCTGGGCGAAGATCTCCTCGTACGCGGAGACGAGGACGGGGCGCGTCGGCTCGGCGCACGGCGGCAGCACCAGCACGGCGTCGGCCAGCCCGAGCGCGAAGCACCCAAAGGCCGACTCGTCCGCCACCGCGCCGTCCTCGCACGCCTCGCCCGCCGACGCCGCCTCCGTGTGCACGAGCAGCAGCTCCGGCGCTTGCGGCGAGGCCGCCACGTACGCGCCGCCGCGATCCTCGCCGGCGGCTGGCGCGCGCGCCGTGTCGAACTCGGTCGCAAAGATGGAGTTGAGCAGGCGCCGCGCCCGCAGCCGCCCGCCGACCGTGGCGACGACCGAGCGAGCGCCGCCCACCGACGCGAGCTCCGACGCCGCGGCGGGCTGGAAGTCGCCTCGCGGGGAGATCAGCGGCACCGGCGCGTCGAGCGCGGCCACCGAGAGCGATGAGAGCAGCGAGATCATTGTCAAGCTCTCGTGGCCCGATGGCGGAAAGAAATATGTACGGTAATCGTATCTAGGGGAGTTCGCGCGCGCGCCACGCTAGGCTCAGACGGCGAATCGCGCTGCGCGCGCGGTAACGGGCGCCTCAACTGCCGCGATGTGTAAGCGTTGGCAGAGAGATTCGCCACAGTTTCTTGTCGTCGGCTCCCGTGGTGTACCTGTGTTAGTGCCAGTGCGCGCCAGTCCCGTGCCTAGTGTCGTGCGAGGGAGTTTAAGAAAAAGGCAGAAACGGAATACCAGTTTTCCCGGGGTTTTTTCTTTTTCTCGCGATGTCCACCCCGCCGCGCCGCCGCTCGCGCCGCCTCGCCTCCGCCTCCACCGCCGCTCCCTCGCCAGACACGCCGCCGCCCGCCCGCCTCCTCGACCTCCCCAGGGAGCTCCTCGAGCGCGCCCTCTCTCGCTGCGACAGCCCCCTCGACATCGCTCGCGTCGCGGCCGTCTCGCTGCTCTTCCACGCCTCGCTCGCGGCGGAGGGCATCCGCTTGTGGGCGCAAGAGCGCGGCTTCGAGCTGCCGGCGCTGCCAGAGGGTGAGAGCTGCGCCGTGCGGTGGCTGTGCTATTCGGCGTTGCTGTGCGAGTCCAACCCGCCGGCGAGGGCGGCGGCAGGCAAAACGCACAGCCTCTTCATCGACGGCGAGGGGCGGCTCTCGTCGTGCGGCTCGTCCAACGACCCAGAGCTGCTCGGGCACGGCGAGGGCGTGACGCGGCTCAACACGCCGACCCGCCTCTCCTCTTCGCTGGGCGACGAGCGTGCCGTGAGTGTGTCGGCTGGAGTCAACCACAGCCTCGCCCTGACCGCCGACGGCGCTGTCTGGAGCTGGGGCGGTGGAGGCTGGGGCCTGCTGGGCCACGGCGACCAGCAGGACCAGCTGCTGCCCAAGAAGGTCGTGGCGTTGGCTGGGCAGCGCGTCGTCGCTCTGTCGGCTGGAGGTCGCCACAGCCTCGCCCTCACCGCCGACGGCAGCGTCTGGAGCTGGGGCGGTGGAGGCTGGGGCCTGCTGGGCCACGGCGACCAGCAGGACCAGCTGCTGCCCAAGAAGGTCGAGGCCTTCGCTGGGCAGCGCGTCGTCGCTGTGTCGGCTGGAGGCTTCCACAGCCTCGCCCTCACCGCCGACCGCGCCGTCTGGAGCTGGGGCGGTGGAGGCTGGGGCCAGCTGGGCCACGGCGACCAGCAGCGCCAGCTGCTTCCCAAAAAGGTCGAGGCCTTTGCTGGCCGGTGCGTCGTCGCTGTTTCGGGTGGAAGCAACCACAGCCTCGCCCTCTTCGCCGATGGCGCCGTCTGGAGCTGGGGCTGGGGATACTCTGGCCGGTTGGGCCACGGCGACGAGCAGGACCAGCTGCTGCCCAAGAAGGTCGTGGCGTTGGCTGGGCAGCGCGTCGTCGCTCTGTCGGCTGGAGGTCGCCACAGCCTCGCCCTCACCGCCGACGGCAGCGTCTGGAGCTGGGGCTATGGAGGCCAATGCCAGCTAGGCCACGGCGACCAGCAGGACCAGCTGCTGCCCAAGAAGGTCGAGGCCTTCGCTGGGCAGCGCGTCGTCGCTGTGTCGGCTGGACTCCTCCACAGCCTCGCCATCACCGCCGACGGCGCCGTGTTTACCTGGGGCAAGGGCGAGGACGGCCGCCTGGGCCACGGGGAGGACCTGTCGAACCAGCTGCTGCCCAAAAAGGTCGAGGAGTGGGCGCCGGGGCAGTGATGAGAAGGGCGAAAGGGTGTGCAAGGCTCTGTGTTGCCGCGCGTGCCTGTTCGCCACCTGCGAACGTGCCCGAGAGTGGCGAGAGGCGAGTCTGGGACAAAAGAGTTTTCTGCATGGTCCTTGTGTCGTGTTGGGGGTGAACGCCTTGACACCCCGTTTTTGCCCATTTTCGGTCATCCGTCAAAATATCTGACGATCCTACTATAGGATTCTCCCCAAACCTAGCCCTAGTCTGGCCGATTTTTTTGCGGTATCTTGACGATGTATCTCTCCATATCTGACGACTGACCGTATCCCGCCATATCCCGCCATATCCCGCCATATCCCGCCATATCCCGCCGTATCCTGCCCGCCTCACGCCGAGCAGCCCGGCCTCTCCGCGCTCCGGCCGCAGAGCGCGACGGCAAAAAAGAAACTTAGACGTCGCGTGCGCTCGAAAAGGGGAGAATGGATATGTGCTCGACAAGCGGGGCCGTCGAAGCGCGAAGTTCGCCCGTTGCGTCCGATTTGCGGTTTCACGCTTCACGGACGTTGTCGTGAACACATCGTGGGGGCTCCGTATCTCATCATATCCGCGTGTATCTCCCGGTATCCCGCCATATCCCGCCATATCCCGCCATATCCCGCCATATCCCGCCATATCCCGCCGCGGATACCGCGAAAAAAATCGGCCAGACTAGGGATAAACCTTGCTCAGCTGATCCAGCCTGGGGGGAAGGCCAGCCCCGGGCAAAGAAACCAGTACCTCATCCGGCTTCCCTGAGCGTCACAGCTCGCGAGCTCGGTGATCGCACCGGCCGGACACCACTGTAACGTCCGTTCCGGGCATTTGAACGCGACCTTCGGGGGCAAAGACATGGGCTCTATGGCTCAGACTGGACTCCTCTTGGTCCCTTCTGATGCCCTAGGCCACACCTAGGCCTTACCTGGGGCTCTAGGGGGCGGGCGGGGTTTGCCCCCCAAAACTGGCATGGAGAATTCTTAAGATACAAGCCTCTCTCACAGCACACTGGCACGACAAGGGCGCGGACTGGCGCGGACTGGCACACACACCGGCTCACCACCGGAGCCGCCTAAGCGACTCCGTTAAGAACGGCAATGCATTCCGCACCGTGCACAATGCCGCTCTCCCCGCACGCTAGCTCGTTCACCGTCTGCCACGCCACGGCGGTGTGGAGGACGACTGGCATGGCATGGAGAACCTTAAACAGAAAGAAGAATGACACGGCCCTCAGCGGAGGTGGGAAGAGGACCGCCGCAAGCGGCGTGGCGTGGAGCGGTTGAGCATCCCTCCGGCGGCCCCTCTGCGCCGGGGAGGCGTTGTTGGAGGCTAGGACGCAAGCGTCCGTCGCCCTTTTCAAACTCGGGGCCCACTCCGCTACGCTCCGACGCGAATAGTTAGAGGCTGCGCAGGCTGCCGTCCCGTTCGCATGTTTGCATAAAAAATCGTCAGATTTCTCTCGAAGTCACATGACTGAGTGTTCTACCACAAGCACTGGATGTGTGGAATGACTGAGACTGTTCCTTTACACACACAAGGCTCAAGGGCTTCCGGCTTGCACGATCCACGAAGCTGCCGTGCTCGTTTTTTCAGATTTCACAAAAATGGTGCACATAAAAGCTACACAATTTTGGTGCGCGTGTGTTTGAGGCTGTTCGGTGGTTTATCACTCCACATGAGTCCGCCACCGGATCAGCAGCACCTCGCGCCGGTTGGACGCGCCGTCCTCAACCACCCTCGCGCTCGTGCACGAGAAACGGCCGTCCTCCTCGACGAGCGTTCGGAACGCCGCCACCGAGCCACCGACACCGAAATAGTAGCTCTTCGCCGCGACGAGCGCGAGGCCCACCGGGCGGCGAAGCTGCGACGCGATGAGGTGCCACAAGCGCCGCGCCGCACCGGCGTCGTAGATTGTGTCGGAGGTCAAGATGAGGTCGAACCCGTCGGGTGGCAGCGGCGGGGACGACGAGGGCGCCGCGGCCTCCACGACGGCCGCCGCCTCGGCGCGCCGCTGCGAGGTGAGCAGCGAGTCGAGGTGCGCCTGCCCAACGGCAGCGGCGAGGCTTCAGAGTGTGTCGGGTGTGTCTTAGAGCCGTTGCCGGCTCGTCGGGGTGTGCGCGCCCAGTCGCCGGCGTAGAAGCGCGCCGGCGCGTGCGCCAGGCCGTTCAGGCGGAGCGAGGGCATGGTGAGGCTCTGGAGCACCTCCGCGTTGAAGTCGTGCAGCACTGCCACACGGCAGCCAAGCTGCAGCGCGAGCAGTGATGGCAGGCCCGCGCCGCAACCCGCCTCGAGCACGGACGCGCCGCTCGCGCGGAGGGTTCCGTCGCGGTGGCGCGCGCCCAACTCGTGCAGGAGGTCGACCGCGCACTCCCAGAGCTTGAAGCCGCCCTCGTATCCTCCTGGCACGAGATCAGAGGCGCGCACGGCCGCAGAGAGGCCGGGCGCGTCTGCGAGCAGTTCCGGAACCCGCGACTCGGGCACGATCGGCTTTCGAAGCTCGGCGAGGCCGCACACCGCGCACCGTTCGGCGGGAGCACCTCGCGTCGCGGCGTGGCGTGCTGCCGGATGGCCGGCGGACTGGCACACACACGGCCACACCGCCTCTACTGGCCAGCCGCTCGCGTCAACCTCCTCGTCGAGCGCCACCTCTCGCGCCTCCATCAGCTCGGCTGCGGACGCGCTGGAGGCCTGCGCATCCTCGGCGAAGTTGAACAGCATGGCCCGTTGTGTGGTCTCTCGCGCGTCCAGATGGCGTGCCGTCCTCCGCGAGTTAGTTTCTTCCTTTCTGTGAAAGCGTCTGATAGCGCGATAGCGCCCCACCCCCGCCGCTGCGGCGGGCGCCCCGCCCCCCCCCTCTCGCCGCGCGCCTGTGGCACCGTGCTCTCTCGCCTCGCTACGTACGACCGCCTAGATGGTGCCCACGGCTGTCTGTCTCCCTCCTCAGTGTTGAGGTCGAAGGTCAGCTTGAAGTCAGTCGGGTCGGGCTTGGGGGGGCGGATCTACTCGTAGCCTGCCTCTTCTCGAGCGCGATTTCCATCGGGTTGCTCGCGTGCCTCCCCTTCCAGTGCGAGTACAGCTGCGCTCTTCTGCGGACTGCGGGGCCGCTGCGGGGCGACCCGGGCGCCCTCCGACCACACTGTACTATTACTATCATTTAACAGTAAACAGGCAGCAAGTGAGCAAGAGGTGAAAGACCGGCCCAAGCCAACGGGGGCCTATCCCGGACCAGCCAGCAGGGGCATACAATTCCTGTACCCCTGACTGTGAATGTTCACAGCGGACCCCTTTCACACCTAGACACGGAGGCCCTCTCCACGTACCGGCTCCGCTGCTCTGCAGGCTCCGGATAGGCCCTGCCCACGGCTCAGTCACCCTTACCTCACTCGGGGTGCCAACACTAACTCAACCGCCGAGATCGACCCTATGCAGGCGACCAGGCGCAAACAGACCTCGGTCTGACGCGCGCTACACCGCCTTCGGCACTCGCCCTCGCCCGCGAGCCCTCGAACGCGCTGCACCCGCGCCCTCACCAACCAAATCCCTCGCCCGAAGCAATCTGAGACCGCCAACACGGCGGATATCAAGCGAGATCTAGTCAGAGCTCACACAGCTCCGTTCACACCTCGCGACCAGAGGCGACTACCACCCTCGACAAATCCCCGGAACCCCACCATCGCTCGCCTACCCTCCGCGTACGGCGACACCCCGTCACGCCACCTCGGCAACACCCCAACATCGGCAGGAAAGATTCTCGCCACGACGGCGCTATAACGCCGCCCCACCTACACAGACTGGACAGGCCTGCTCTCGGAGAGGGGGGCTAGGGGGCCAAATCCACGGCCACAACCCCCTAGAGGCAATGGAGCTGAGAGAAGGCGCTCGGCTGCAAGGGTAGCAGAGCACCACTCCTACGCCCACGCCCCCTCAAAGACGGCAGAAACAGTCACACGCAATTAGTACATGGCCCAGCTCGCGCCATCGCCCACACTCGAGCTTTGCAGCGCGCGGGCTCACACTCTACTATAGGCCCCCTCGACGCCCACTTCGAGTTCTACTCAGCTAAGGGCCGCACTTGACGCTGTAAGCAGCGCGCGGCGAAGCAGTTTGGCGCTTGTGGTGAATCAAATGTGGGAATCTAGCCCAAGGTCGGAGGAGTCGTGTCATAGGAGAGGAGAGAGTGTGGAGATGTTTTGTGCGGGATCAGGCCCGAGTCCCTAGTGTCGCCGGAGCAGGTAGCTCCCTTTTTCGTAACAGGAAAAGTTTTTTTTGAAAGACCGGGCCAAGAGCCTCGTGAGACGTGAGAGCGCAGACGGGGCAGAGCCTGAGCGGGCCCCCCGGGGCCCCCGCAGCGGCGAGCGGGCGGGGGCCCCGGCACCCGAGCGGAAGGACTCCATTCATGAGTTGATTTGCCCCCCCCCCCCCCTACACAAGGGCGCGCGCCAACAAAGAATTTTACAAGAACTTTAGTTTTACGTGGCACAACACGGGGCACCCATAGTCCGTATCCTCTGCGACCGGGCACATCTGCGTCCCAGGACAGCGTTTTCCGGCGACTCTCGCTCGCAAGCCGGCGTGAGCGCGTGCCTCTCTGCTTGCTGAAAACGACGGTGTACGCGCCTCCCCTAATACATCTCCCCGCGCAGGAGCAGCTTCGGTAGGCCCTCCGCGACCACCGGCCGGGCGAGGTGCGGGCACGCGTGCGGGAAGAGGAGCAGGCGGCCTCGCACCGGCGTCACGGCGGCGCGCACGCTTCCCTTGCCGAGCGAGAGCGACTCGAGCAGCACGGTCTCGCCGCCCTCCGCGCAGCCGGAGAGGTAGAGGATGAAGGTGTGCGTCGAGGTGCGCCCCGTGGCGTCCGTCCGCGACAGGTCGACGTGCGGCGGCAGTCCCCCGCCCGCCTCTGCGTAGAGCAGGAACCGCATGTGCGCGATCGGCGTCCCGACGATGGGCACGCCCTCGCCGCCCGCCGCGGCGGCGGCGGCGGCGGCGGAGGCGACCGCGCCGGCGAGCGCGGCGCTGACCCACCCCTCGGCATCGCAAAAGTACGCGCGGTCGTTGAGGCCCTGCGTGCACTTGTAGCGCGGCGCGAGGGGGAGAGAGGCGAAGAGCGCGTCGAGCTTCTCGAGCAGCGGCTCGGGGACGGCGCCGTCGATCACCACCGACCCGGCTCCGGCGTGCCCCTCTCGACTCGAGATGAGCACGCGCAAGCCCGCGCCGCATACCGTCGGCAGCGGGACTGCCTGAGATAGGGGAGATGTGGGGAGATGCGGGGAGATGTGGGGAGATGTGACCAGCGGGACAGCCTGAGATAGGGGCGGTATGGGGAGAGATGGGGAGAGATGGCGTCGGCACCGTCTGCAGCGCTCGCGCGGGGCACCACGCTGCCCGCAGCGCTGCGTCGCCCTCGCCCGAGGTGGCAGCTGCCTGCAGCGCGGCCGGCGCCGCCCGGCGGAGAATGTGCAGGAGGGGCGTCACGCCCCTCTCCGACCCGTCGCTGTCCAGGTCGGCGCCTGATCTCGGGTGATCTCGGGTGATCTCGGGGTGGCGTCGGGCGCAGCAGACGCCGTCGCTGTCATCTCGGGTGATCTCGGGTGATCTCGGGGTGATCTCGGGGTGGGCAATCGGTCGAGGCCTCCACCGGCGCACTCTTTTAGGCGTGTGTAGGAACGGCGGCGGGGAAGACGCCGCGCGCCGATGCTCGCGAGGGCGTCGAGGGCGGTGGCGTGGCCGTTGGCGGCGGCGGCGGTCGCGGGAGTCGTGCCGCCGTGCGCGCGGGCTGGGAGAGGATTCGCACCAAGAGCAGCGAGTCTGCGCCGGCGTGGGGAGAGAGGGGGAGAGATGGCTGGGAGGGCGAAGACAAGGGCCTGTGCTCCCTCCTCTCGAGATGCGGGGAGATATGGGGAGATGCGGGGAGATATGGGGAGATATTGGGAGATATGGGGAGATACGGGGAGATATGGGGAGATATGGGCCTGTGCTCCGCGTCTCGAGGAGCGAACCGGCGGAAGATCTCCCCCGATCTCCCCCTATCTCCCCCTCTCTCCGCATCTGGAGGAGCAGGAGCCTGCGGACCGACGCCGCAGCGCCCCTCCACGCCGCCACGTGCAGCGGGGTCAGCCCGTACTCGTCCGCAGTGTCGAGCGAGACGCCGGCCTAAGGAAGTAACAATGCCGGGGTGATTGATTGCGAATAGAGCAGGCAGTGTCGAGCGAGACGTTCGCCGAGCAGAGCGCGCGGAGCAGCGCCGTGTCGGAGGAGCCCGCGGCCTGGGGGGAGAGATGCAGCCGGGGTAGCCGAGGTATAGCCGAGAGATAGCCAGCTAGCGCGCGCGCGTGTGTGCGTGTGTGCGAGTGTGCGTGTGTGTGTGTGTGTGTGTGTGTGTGTGTGTGTGTGTGTGTGTGTGTGTACGCGCGCGCGCGCGTGTGTGTGTGTGTGTGTGTGTGTGTGTGTGTGTGTGTGTGTGTGTACGCGCGCGCGCGCGCGTGTGTGTGTGTGTGTGTGTGTGTGTGTGTGTGTGTGTGTGTGTGTGTGTGTACGCGTGTGTGTGTTTGCCTTTGGGAGAGCCTCAAGCCGCTGCTCGTCGCTCAAGCGCGCCACGTAGTTCGCGGCGGCGGCGCGCGGCGGCAGCGCGGCAAACGCGTCGCCCCGCCGCCCCGCCATGCGGCAGGTGCGGTCGAGGTTGCAGACGATGCAGTTGGGCCTGAGGAAGGAGTACGGGCCGGCGACTCAGCGGCCTGATTAGTGGTGGAGAGCCTTGTAGACGAGGCGGCTCTGCCGGCCCGAAAAGTTATCGTAGAGGCACCAGCCGCACGTCCAGCGGGGCTGCCTGAGATAGGGGAGATGTGGGGAGATATGTGGGGAGATGTGGGGAGATATGGGGAGGTATGGCGAGATATGGCGAAATATGGCGAGATGTGGGGAGATGTGGCGAGGCTTTGCGAGATGTGGGGAGGTATGGGGAGGTATGGGGAGGTATGGCGAGATGTGGCAGAGATATGGCCGAGGCCTGCCGGGCAGCGCCACCCGCTCCTCGCCCCGCCAGACATACTCCGCCTCCGCCTCCGCCTCCTCCGCCTCCTCCGCCTCCTCCGCCTCCTCTGCCTCCGCCGCAGCCTCGCCTCCCGCCTCACCGCCGACGCCCTCGCCGACGCCAAAGCACCCGCACTCGCCACATCCTCCCTCACAACGGCCGTCGCCGCCGCCACCGCCACCGCCGCCGCACCCTCCGCCGCCTCGCCCCACTTCCTCACCGCCACCCTCCTGGTCCGCCTCCTGGTCCGCCGCCTCGGCCGCCGCCTCGGCCTCCTCCTTGAAGGCGGAGGCGGCGCAGGAGGCGCGGGAGGCTCTGTGTGGGCAGCTGCGGGACCAGTGGCCGGCCTGAGATACGGGGAGATACGGGGAGATCGGGGGAGATACGGGGAGATCGGGGGAGATCGGGGGCCCGGGGGGCACGAGACCTGGGGAGAGACGGGGAGAGACGGGGAGAGAGTCCGCTTCTAGGCCTTGGCACGCCTGGCCGCACGCGCGGCAATGGCCCGCCAGCGCCGCGCCCTCCTCCGCCTCCTCGCCGCCCGGCGTGTGCAGGCTGGCGCGGCAGGCACCGCACCGCACCTCGCCCCGCTCCTCGGACTGCGACTGCGGCGGCTCGCAAAACGTGCTCCACAGGCAGCGCTCGCAGCAGACGCAGCCGCACGGCGCGCAGCGCAGCAGCGGCCTGTTCACAGCTGCAGGTGTGAAGAGACGCCGTTCACACTCACGGCACGGCGCGCAGCGCAGCAGCGGCCCGCAGCGCGCCGCAGCGCCTCCGTCCTCGCCCGGCCTTGCCCCGCACGCGTCGCAAGCCTGCGCCAGGCAGACAGCCGAGGTCAGGCGCGGGAGTACGGTCTCGGCGCCGTGTGCTCAGAGCAGTGTCCTCAGAGCACCGCGTGGAGACACGGGGCTGCGAATACGCTGAATACGGCGGGAGACGGCGAAAGAAGACGTGTCCTCTCGAGCGCTGGTTGGAATGCATGAACACGCATTCCGCTTCTAGGGCAGCGAGCCGCTGGCCGCGCGTGCCCAAAGTAGGCTTCGCGGTTCGCCAGCGAGCGCAGCCGCACGATCTGCGCGACGGCATAGACGGCCGAGCGCGGCGCGACGGAGTGGAGCGCCTGGCGCAGGCCGGCGGGTGCGCAGCCCTCGGCCGCCGCCTCCGAGACGGTCGGGTCTGCGCCGCCGACGATCAGCTGCTTCACCGCCGGGTCTCGCCTCCGCCAGGCGGCGTACGCGATGAAGGTCGTCCGCTTGCCGACGGCCGGCCACGGGAGGAGGCAGCGCGTGCCGCCGCACCAGGCGTGGCTCGGCGGCTCGTGCAGTCCGTCCAGCTCCATCCGCACGCAGGCGCGCACGCCGAAATGGTTGCAGTTGTGTTTGTCGAGGCCGCGGAGGCACCGCTGCACCGTGGCCGCGTCGACAGGAGCGCGGTCCGCCAGGCCCTCATGGCGCACGCGGAAGTGTGCCGCTCGCCGCTCGCGCTGGCGGAGGGTCTCCCTACCCATTGGAGAGTGGTCTCCGCAGCAGGAGGGGCCTGTGGAGCACCGGCACCGCTATTCGTGCGGTTCTCCGCGCAAGCGGGCGCCACGCCCGCGGCACCGAGCCAGCCAGTGGCCTTCTTGGGGCGCCTGCGGCGCTCGGAGTGAAATTCTTTTTCCCGTATCGTGTGTGTGCGAGGGACCTTTTCTTTTTTCGCACGACACCGGGTACGGGACTGGCACTAGAAGCCGGCGCGAAAAAAATTTTTCGAACAAGCGCGCCGAGAAGAGAGAGGCGCGAGCGCGCGCGCGCGCTCAGCATCCGCAACCCCGCCCGTTTGCATGCCCGGCCGGACGAAGGCTGGCTCGGCCGCCTCCCGGCGCGGGCACGCTTCAACGGCGCCACAGGCTGCGCCGCTCGCGCTGCCGAAAAGGATCCAAGCCGCGGCGGCGGCCGGCAAGGCGGGCGTGGTGCAGACGTGGCTCAGCGGGGATGGGCGGGCTGACGCGACGTGCGTGCGTGGTGGTGGGAGTGGCTGGACGCTCCTCCTGATCGCCGCCGAACACGGTCACAAGCAGCTGGTCGAACTTCTGCTGAAGCGCGGCGCGAAGCCGAACGCGCAAAACAGCATCGGCACTACGGCGCTGATGGCCGCCGCCGTCAACGGCCACGAGCAGGTGGTCGAGACGCTGCTGCAGCACGGCGCGGAGATCAATCTGCAGAACAACGACGGCTACACCGCGCTGATGGGCGCCGCCCAGGAGGGCCACGAGCGGGTGGTCGAGCTGCTGCTGCGGCACGGCGCGGAGATCAACCTGCAGGACTACGACGGCGTCACCGCGCTGATTGACGCCACCTACTTCAATCGCTGCGATTGCACTGCGCTAATGTGGGCTGCCAACCAAGGCCACGAGCGGGTGGTCGACTTGCTTCTGCGGCACGGGGCGGAGGTCGACTTGCAGGACAGCGCCCGCTACACTGCGCTCACGAACGCCGCCTTCCATGGCCGCCCGATCGTCATCCTCCAGTTGCTGCGGGCGGGCGCAAATATGGCGCTGCGCACTGCGACGGACAAGACGGCGCTGCAGATCGCCAAAGAGAAGGGCCACACCGAGTGCGTCGAGGCCTTCAGGACGTATCTCGGCGAAGTGGCGGCGGGCCGGAGCGAGGCGGCGGCGGCCGAGGCAGGCAGCGGGGCGGTGCCAGAGGAGGTTGTGCAAGAAGCTCGGCGAGGCGATGAGGAGGCGGTGCTGGCGTGGCTCGACGGCGGCGGGCAGGTGAACGCGACGTTCGAGTACGTCTTTTCGGACGGCCCTGAGAGCGGCATGACGCTGCTGATGCTCGCAACGATGAAGGGCCACGAGGGGCTGGCCAAGGCGCTGCTCCAGCGCGGCGCGGATCTCTCGTTGCATACCAGCAAGGGCATCACCGCACTGATTCTCGCCGCTTTCCACGGCCAGTCCGCCGCCCTTCTCTGCTTGCTGCGGGCGGGCGCAGACGTGACGCTGTGCACTACGGATGGCTGGACCGCGCTGCAGTTTGCCAAGCAGGAGGGCCACACCGAGTGCGTGCGCGCCCTCGAGGAGCACGCGGCGGCCGAGAAGGCGGCGGAGAAGGCGGCGGCGGAGGCAGCGTGGGCTGCGGGGGCGGCGCAGAGGGCGGCGCAGAGGGCGGCGGAGGAGAAGGAGGCGGCGCGGCACGCCGAGGAGCTGCTGGCGGAGGTCGAGGCGGAGAAGCGCTCGAAGGGCAAGAAGGGCAAGAAGAAGAAGAAGGGCGGCGGGGCGGGCGGGGCTGGGCCGTCGCAGGAGCCTGAGGAGGGTGCCGAGGCGCCGTCGGAGGCAGACGCAGCCGAGGCGGCGAAAAAGGCCGAGGAGGCGAGGCTTCTCCTGCTTCTCGCGACGCTCACCGAGGAGAGGATCCGGCTCGGCATCACGCCGGAGAGCCAGGCAGCGGCGTCGGCAGAGGTGGCCGAGGCGGCGCGCTTGGACGCTGCGGCGGACGAGGCGGAGGAGGAGGCGGAGGCGGAGGAGGAGGCCGAGGCGGCGGCCGAGGCGGCGGCTGAGGAGGCTGCGGCTGCGGCTGAGGCGGCTGCGGCCGCGGCTGCGGCGGCGCTGGCCGCCGCCAAGGAGAGGCGCGTGGCCACTGCCGCTGCGAGGGCAAAGGCGGCTGCCGCCAGAATGGCGGCGGATGCGGCCCAGGAGCGCTGAGACGGGAGAGCGGTCGCTCCTGCTGGTGTCCGGTGCGAACTACGAGTCTCGGCTCGGCCTGCAAACTCGGTGGTCGGTGCGGGTCATGTGACTTGGATCTTGGACTTGGTCTGCTGCCACTGGACTGCCACAGTGGAAAAGCGTGCAACAAACTCTTGCTGAAGTGTGTGAAGAGTGGTGTGGACGTCTAACCACCAGCCCGACGCTCACTACAGTTAGTGTCTCTCTGTGCCACTGTTGCTCTAACGCGGACACGACAAAATATCACGACGCGCGAGGAAACAGGTGTCGTGCACCGCCTTCAAAATGGCGGACGCCGCCGCTACTGGTACCTTTGCTCAGGCCGGGGGCGGCGCTTGGGGCGACGTCCGAGCCGGAGGCGAGCCGCCCCGCGAGGAGGCTCGGGCTCGCCCCGCACCGCGGCCAGGAGGAGGAGGGAGAGGAGAAGCGATGCCATGGCACACCCAATCTCCAATGGTTTTGGTCTCCAGCCGTCGGCGCACGAAGGTGAGGTGACTGTCTGGAGTACATAAAGCCGTAGCCCCAGCCGACTCCGCGTGATCTCTCGAGGGATCTCGAGTTGCGGAGCTGGAGCTGCTCGGTGTACGAACTCTGTTCACACCGAGCAGCGAGGAGCGGCTGCGGCATTAGCAGACAGGTGAGGTGAATTTTTCCACACACACACAGTGGTGGGGCAAGCGGGGGCGAGGGGGCGACCCTCGCATCTCCACACCCGGACTCAGAATCCACTCAGCAAAGAGGCGCGTCCGCACGAAGCAGCTTCAGCTGGCTTCGGTAGTCCATCTCCACCGTCGGGTTCCACCGGAAGTTGCGCAGCTTCTTCTCTATCGCCTGCACGTACATGGTCGTCGCCGTGTAGTGCGAGAAGGAGCCCGTGTTATTGCACCTGATTAAGAATGTAGAGCCGTCCTCTAAATACCAGCCTTACTCATTAAGAGCCCGTGCTTTTGCACCTGCCGAGCTTGCCATACTGCGAGAACAGCCGGTGGGGGCTCTTGTACTGCCGGTGCGGCCTGCCGGCCGGTGACGCGAGGAACAGGGTGATCTTTTCCGTGGTGGTCGGTCGCTGGCCCCGCGGGCGAAGCGACTGGCGGATGCGGCACCGGACCGGGAACTGCTCATCGATCGGGGGGGCCTGTCGGCACGCAGGGCTGTGAGAAGAGAGACGCTGTTCACACCGGTCGGCCCGTCGTGGCGATGACGCCTCGCGCAGCTCGACCGCCCTCCGGCTCTGCGCGACGCGGTCCTCCATGTCGGCGCAAAAGGTGGTCTTCCGCTCCGCGATGCGGCGCTGCATGTCGCACGGGAAGTAGAAGAACTCGTCGATGTTCGCGAAGACCAGCCAGCGGTCGCGCGGCAGCGCCTGAGGCCAGGGACGGCAAGAGCCGTCTCCACTGAGTGTTTTGGCGGCGGCGGCGGCGGCGGCGGCGGTGTGGGGGGTAGGGTGCGAGAGAGCGCCTTGATAAAATCGTTTGTGACGTTGAGCATGAGCTTGTCGCTCCACCGGCTCGAGATGCGCCGTACCTGGTGCGGGTGAATTACCATGCATGAACGAACTCTCAACTAGACCGCCGCCTCGAGGCGCACCTGTGATGAACCACGGCGCGATGAGCGATGAGAACTAATGAATAGTTCTCGCTTCCCCGGATATCGAGACGAGGAGGCGCACCTATGGATCTCAGAGTCACTCCTCAACCCGCGCTCTCCTCCACCGCCTGTTTGGAGAGTACGAGAGCAGGAACAGTCACATCGTCGACGCCCTCGGCGTGCAAGGAGTGCTCCGCGGCGGCGGCGGCGGCGGCGGTTGCGTTGGCGCGTGGGTCGTCTACCCCGTTGGCGTCCGTGGTGGTTGGCGCGTGCACCTATGGTACGTGCAGACCGAGCTAGAGCGTGTGTGGCGGCGTGAGCACGGGATGAAGACGCCACATCTCGGCTAGGCTCGGCTGTATTTCGGCTACATCTCGGCGGAAGGTGGGGTGGCGGGCTATGCTCGGCTATATCTCAACTTACTCGGCTCAGCTCGGCTGTATTCTGGCTATATCTCGGCTGAAGATGGGCGTGCACCCAGAAAGTCATCCTCTCCAGCCGGACACCGACGACGGTGGCGTAGTGGCGGACGAAGTGCCGCGCGAGCGGGTGCGAGTCCGCGTCGAAGAAGCACGCGAGGTGGAGCCTGCGCTGTGGAGACGGCACACGTCAGGGGCGTGGAGAGGGGTCTACCTCTCCGGACGCGGCGCTGGGCGAAAGTCGAGTGCTACTTGGAGCACACAACTCTCTCCGCATCTAGGGGGTGGCGCCGGTCGCGCAGCGTCGTCAGCGGGCAGTGAAGGGGGGCGGCGGGGGGGGCGACGGTGGCGACAACGGGGGCGGCGACGGCGACGGCGGCGACGGCGGGGGCGGCGACGGCCAGTGAGACGCGGTTACTCGCATCGTGAAGCGCTCCTGCCCTGCCCGTCGCTCGGTCCTGCACCTGCGTTGAGAGTATGCACGGTTCACCTACAGGCCACTCAGGGTTGCGAACACGGTCTGGGTGGCGGTCTGGTGTGTGCCGTGTGTTCGAGTGCACATGAGCGAATACCGCTAAGAGATATGAGGGCTACAATACCGCTGAATCTGTGACTAGCGCGGAGTGCGTCTCCTCGGACTCGGAATACGAGGGTCTGCATCCAGCATCTTCGGTGTCTGCACGAAGAAGCCGCGGCCGAACGCGCCAGCAACGCGCGTCATGGGCGCCGCGACGCACGAGAGAGACGTCGCCTAATCGACAGCAACCATCAATCAGAGTCATGAACGAACTC